CAAAACACATCTAGCCAGCATCTGCACAATATTGGCTTGTTAAACGTAAGAAATGCTTCCAAACGTTAGCATTGAAATTATACCAATAATATTGGACAAGACATTGGGGATTTAGACACAGGGTACGTGATTTGGGAGCATGAGGTCGTTCTCCTTGAGGCGAGGGGATACAATATTATGTGTAAATTGTGCCTTACTCAACTTTTGTTCGAGGATCCTGTGTCAGAATCTCCGCAAGTTTAATAGGACGCGATAAGTATAATATTGGGGTAAATGATTAGGGAGTAGAATGCTGCATTTTTAAAGTTCATAATCTGTTTGCCAACTTGCTACTACAACCTGCTTATGAATACCCCGACATAACTGCCACTATACTGTCTTCCCCCTTAACTCCTCTTGACACTTGTCTTGGCCCGATAGATTAGACTAACACTAACAGTGTCACCTTAGCAGAGACTGTGCCCACCTTTTCGGAACTTCACAGCGACATAAAAGATGGTTCCAGTAGAGAACGGGATAGAGGGTGCCCACATCCCTCGTGACTCATTGGACCAGGAGAAGATAGAACTAATGCTAACATTACTTTAACTCAATCCCACATCATCACTCATCATCATCATTATTTCTAAAATCATGGTTGCTTGCAGATCAATGACTTAGATCTATTCTATCATAATCTCGGAAACTCTATAATAATATGTAACAGTTACTTGTCATACTAAGTACGCACGTAATACACTATTCAACTCTATTATACGCACTATTTTCTACTAATTAGATGGCGTCAATCTCATATTTTCTTCCAATTCATCTCGTGTCTATTTCGGAAATATTTATAGATTTGGGCTCGTAAAATTGTAATATTATGTCCCCAGAATGTTCAGAGATAACCTCCATTACAACAAACCTAATCAGAATTAAGAGCAACTAATTTCAACATGAAACGGACGACGGCGTGAATTAAGACAATAAGGTATTTCAATGGTATCATAGAGTGTTTTAAATCAGAGAACAAATTATCATCGTGTCAACAGCTGTGGTGGCTGTGTGCATAAAAGAGAGACTGAGGACTTTAGAGCCACTGTACATCGCCTTGGTACATCTAGTCATCACGTAGGTATCAGCTCACGTCTAAGGAAAAGGGTGAGCACACGATGCCACTCGTCCTTGTCTAAAGTCCAGCGGCCTCATCTTTCGACGTCGAGACTCGTTGAAAAGTGTTCGTTCTCAACTTGACTTATCTTGGCCTTTCTGACGTAAGACAAGTCTCATTGTTTGCACTTCGTACTCGTAAGGGTGTGATCATGTTTAAATATATATATCATACGATCGTCAATGGACAAAAAAGCAGAACGCAGTAAATCGCTCTCCTATACCAAATGAGATGAACAGCTGTATCTTGTCAAACAAGAACACACTCAAAAGATTTGTTTGTGAACTCATCTAGAAAAGAAAGATTAGCCGTGCTTCTCTTTCTTGTCCGCTTTCACTCGTGAAGTAGCTCTTTGCTTGATTTTACCCTCACAGTAGTTTGGCAAAGTTTGTGAATTGATAGAGCTATTGTTTTTATTTCTGTATTTCTTCTCCTAGCCCCGAGACAAGCTGACAACACCATGAGGCTCTCGTTTCTCCCGTCCCTTCTACTGGTTCTTTTCCTCGTCTTTCACGGGCACGTCGGGAAGACATCGGGATGCGATCGCCGGGACTCAGGTGATTGGCCACCTCGCAATAGGAAACCGCCCACACGTCCGTGGCGGGGACTGCTTCCAAATGCTGACAGTCGGGAATTCTCCGTGCTGCCATCTGAATCGCTGCTTCAAGAAGACAAAAAGATCGAGAATGGATTTTTTTTAAAGTCTGGCGATGGAAAACTCACGTGGCTGCCTGGCAATGGAAAAGGGTAAGATATAATAATAATTAGATAGTATGCTTTTGCAACATACCGCAAAGGGGAGAGATTGAAGAACGAAATAATCCTGACATATCCAAAGAGCAATAATAAAGTGTATATTATATTATTGTTGTATATTTGAAACATTCAAAATTATTCAGGAGATAAATGAAAATCCAAAATAAACAACCACGCCCCCCCCCCTATCACATTCGCCCCCAACCAAAGAAAAAAATAATAAACATGATAAGAAGCAATCACAAATTATAAGGTCGAGGCAACATTCATTAAAAAACGGAGTAAAGACAACAAGCACAGAGGACACATGCAATATCTGTAGTACGACGACCCAAAACCACAAGAGTTCCAGCAAAGCATCACGTATTTTTTAGAAACAGAGGCAGACTGTGTGAACAAAAGTTTTGAGTGGACACAATTTAACTTATACTTGAGCCTACTGAGCCGTACTGGTGCACATCTGTCTGATCAGTTTGTATGTATGTATGTAGTATAGGGTTTTACGGCGCTCGCAACTGCTAAGGTCATATGAGCGCGCGAAACACAAGTTGTTCACCTTCGCAAAAGTTCACTCCACGACTGGTTAACTAATTGACTTTAAAATGCTAAAAAGTTAACATATTTAAATTCAGTGTAAATATATTTGTGATTTAAAACAACTCTTTTAAGTAACAATAAAAATTTATAAATAGTATGTTTTCATTTTACAACTTGTCATAAAGGCCAGGATCAGTTTGGTTTTGCCCATTGTATACAAATATACACATGTACTTTAGTTTGGAAAAATGTCCCCTAGTTTACCTTGGGGAAGTTATTAAATATTTTGTTTTTATTGTTGTCCATTTTCATTATTATACGTTATCTCTCTTTCAGTCCCATTACATTTTGTTTACCTTCTATAAGCCCTGGTGAGATTGCTGTAATTTTCATTTTATTCAGTTCTTCAGCCATTTTAGTTATATCTCTGTTTTGTTGGGTTTAGTTGACAGAGTCTGGGTTTTTTTCCAGTTTATCCAGTTTACTTTACTGTACTGAACTTAACACGTGCTCATTGCGATTAAAAGCACTGAACGTTGTCATCAAAATTGATGATTTTAGACCTTTGTGGTACTTTAGAGTTTTCACTGTGCTGTTAAACAATCCAATACAAAACCTGTTCATGCAGTGTAAAAATATGTAATTAGAGATATAAAAGGGGGCAGGGGCACCTTACAACTAACTTTATGGGAAATATCGCAATAAAAGGCGCACAACTTTGTTGAATACCCAAGTAAAGAAAGAAGTTATACTTATGATACTTGGACATTCGCATGTCTTCACCCCACCCACCCCCACCCCCCCCCCCCCCCTCTTTTTACGATAAGACATAATATTATGTATAAAATTCATTCAGAGAGAATAAAATAATGTCAGGATTTCGAACATAATTCCCATCTCCAAGTCAATTGAATTGAGATCTGGAATAATCCAACAACACACATTTTAAGGTCAACGTTTCCTGGACAAGATGGAATAACGAGTTGTCCGTATATCGCTGCTATTATCGGCACTCATCCTGTATTGTCCATTTCATCCTTCTATTTCATCAACGTCTTCTGTTACTGACATTCAACTTTTCCTGGTCAAGAAATGAATTATCAGCGTTGATATGTCGTGTTTATTATCTGCACTCAAATCTCAGTGTCCAATGTTGCCCTCTTATATTCTATCATCAACGTTTTCTGATATTGACCACCAACTTTTACTAGTCAGGAATTGGTTATCAGTGTTGAGTTATCGTGTTCATTATCTGCACTCATCTCGCAGTATCCATTTTCACCCTCTGATTTCATCACTGTCTTCTGATACAGACCATCAACTTTTCCTGGACAGGAATAAATCACCAGTGTCGGGATTGGGGGGGGGGGGGGGGGCTGAAGACACGACCGGAGTCCCCAAAGATCAGCAAGCTGCCTGACCTACCACTGCCTCCACCACCACCTCTACGACCACCTTCTAAAGAGAGGGACACGCCATTTGGGTTTTATTTAGACAATGATTCGATTGGAGATAACCTGGAGAAAAAATCAAACACGATGTCTTCCACTATGTCAATATACACATTGAGAAAACGCTTAATTTATGCAAGATTTTGTATTGTTGACTTGTCAATAAAACAACACAAAGCATTTATACGTTTTGTGGTTGTTGTTTTTTTGCTGCTTGTGTGGTTGATATTCTTGTTACTATTGTTCATACCAATGTTGCTGTTGTTATTGTTGTTGTTATTGTTGTCGTTGTTGTTGTTGTTGTTGTTGTTGTTGTTGTTGTTGTTGTTGTTGTTGTTGTTGTTGTTTGCCTACTCATTCCGACACTTATTACACATGAAGTTGTGGAGATTCCGACATAGGGTCTTCGAATCCAAGTCTAGGGGGAAGAGTTTAAGACAAGAGAGAGCAAGAGACTCATTTTGTTCCTAATGATTTATTTAAAGCAAATTTTGCAATGAGGTATGGTTGGGAATGACGTTTATGTTTATGATATTGCTTGGTTAGTAATGGAGACTGATCAAGGATTATGATTCGCTTCTATTTGACTAGTGCGCTGGTTCAAAATTCAGCTAAGAGTTACATTTTAAAAAATTATGATAGAGATTAGGGGACAGTATCACTGTTGGTTAGAATTTGGGATTCGAAGCTAGAGATTGTGGTAAGGGTTTGTTAACACGTTAGTGTAGCTTAGAGTTATCCACGAACCAAGCCCAACTACGCCCCTACATGATCAGCCACAACGGAGTAAGAACGTTACAGGACCCACGGGTTGGTTCAAAACCTTCAGCTGGGGTGTCACAAGGTTGCGTTCTATCACCTGTTTTATTTAATTAAATGGAATTACCAAAGATGTTTTAAAAAAAACAACTAAACTTCTTGAATGAATTACTAAAAGCTGGTTATCAAAGCCTGAAAATAAGGATAAGCAAACCCTTCATTACCACATCACCAAATTACCAAATTCAATGAAGACTACGGAGACAATATAACATAACGATCAGCACCAGCAAAACAATCACAATAAAAAAGTAGGCAGAAAATCCAAGGATTCCTCTCATCATACAAAACAACAGTACCAGGCTCAAGCAGTTCCCAGAGTCCAAGTATATTGGACAGTTATTTACAGTGGATAAAAGATTTAATAGAATAGGTCAAAGAAGACAAGTACAATAGAAGTGTATCTATCCACAGAGAAAGGACGACTATTAAATAGGAACATATAAACGATCGTATAAAAAGCAAATTATATCACTACATGTATCAGATTACTCCACTGCAGATAGATCCAAACAACTCCATGTAGTCAAAAGCTTGGATTGGGGCGAAACGTTGAACAATGTTTTAAGTACACTTAACTTACGCCAGAGATATTCAAGTATCATTGTATTATTGTTTCTAACAAACTACAATAAACTATAGAGAAATGCCAAAATGATCAGCACTGTCTTTCTCCCAACAATATCCCACCATTGCCATGCACGAACCATGGTCAAGACTTAAGAAGAAAAAGAATAACAGTTATGTGAAATAAGATGTCTAGGGAAAACAGAGAACAAGATAGGGCAAAACACCCCCCTCCTTTAAAAAATAAATAAAATAAGATAAAAATAAAACCTAACACATTGATCAGAGAAATTAGTATTAGTTTTAGTAAGAGTTTTACGGCACTTGCAACACAATAGGGTCATATAAGTGCCAAAGAATAGATGTGTTCCAAGAGAGTAACATTCACAAGCAAGAAGGAGAGATAAGGGCGATAGATGTTTGATAAGAAAGAAGAAGTTAACAGCATAAAAGCACCCGCCAACCACCCACTATCATAGGAAAGGTCGGAACAAATGACGTCATTCATCACATTTAACATCAACGAAGCAAGTGGTTTGGTCATCTAATGCGACAACCAACATACCACGTAGCACAACGGTCCTACACCCCTAGAATCAATGGGAAATCAGGTAGTGGTGACCAAGAGAGACCTGGGCAAAATATGAAGGTAGGGAAAAACCTTCCAGAAGGTAGCAGAAACACGTTTCTTTCTTCCCGCGACGCCCAAGGGTTTATAAGTCGTGGAGAGGATAAAACGTGAAAGTAAACTAAGTTTCTTTTTCTTTAGGAAACGAGACCGAGTTGGGGGGGGGGGGGGAGGATGAGAAGAGGCACGGGCCTCAAGTGGAGGGTTCCAAGGTGTGACTGGAGAGGGGGGTAAAATAAGGGGTGAGGTTTCATACCACTTGATTGGTTAACACTTCTGTAATTGACGGTATTTCGCATAATTATTTGTCATCATTTCTCGAGTGTCTCATTTTTATCGTATTCAATCTTCACATAATAATACGAGAATACCTGGTCCTGTGCAATCACTCGGACAACACGTATAAAAGTAGTTTCGACGATGTGTTTTCTGGTAAAAGAAAACGATCCAGACACATCAGAAGGCACGATGTTTAGGACTGGTCTGACATGGACATTCACGTCTTTGTTAGGTTCGTCTCGGAAGAAAAAAACGAGATAGTACACAACATAATTAATTCTAGGCGATCAATTAAGGAAAAAGGCTTTTAATGTGCACTGTTGATTCCTTTTAAGCACTACTTTGAGATTTCCAAGCTCAAATCAACCCCACTCCATTATTATAAGGCAATATTTTCAAAGTACACTTAAAGGGTACGTCTCTATAGGACTAAAGGTCAGTTATTTCATTGCTTAAGGAGGCCAAAAGTCGATGTAGCAGTGATGTCCTTTGATTTACAGTTAGTTTCATGCCTTCATTATCGTCCCTCACAACCTCACACACCAACAACCCTTTTTAAGTTTCTTATACTATTTACTTTCAAAAGCTACAATCATACATTTTATTGTGTGTGTGTTTGTGTGTGCGCGCGTGTGTGTGTGTGTGTGTGTGTGTGTGTGTGTGTGTGTGTGTGTGTGTGTGTGTGTGTGTGTGTGTGCGTGCGTGTGTGTGTGTGTGAGAGAGAGATAGGGAGAGAGAGAGTGTGTATGTGTGTGTGTGTATGTGTGTGTGTGTGTGTGTGTGTGTACGTGTGTGTGTATTTGTGTGATTATGAAAGACACTGGGAAGGAGACAAATTTCGAAATAGAGTAAAGGAGATAAATTCATGTTAGGAGAGAGAGAGAGAGAGAGAGAGAGAGAGAGAGAGAGAGAGAGAGAGAGAGAGAGAGAGAGAGAGAGAGAGAGAGAGAGACTGAACGAAAAAGGGGAGAGAGAGCGTGTGTTTTAGGAACGACACCGGGTTAAAATACATATAGTTTTGAAAGATTAAATGAATAATGACTCGACTATATACCAAATTTCAGTTCGGTTAGTGTCTATTTCTGTAATGTTTATGGATTTGGAACCTTTAAACTATATTATTGTTCGCTGAAAATAGTAAAAAGGTACCTTCCATTATGGAAAAACAGCTAATCAGAGACTAGGAGCATTTAATTTTAACATGACAGAGGCAACGGTGTGAATTAAAACAATACAGACATTTCATTGTTATCTATGATCGGTTTGTAAGAAAACTAATTATCAGGGTGCAAACAGCTGTCGTGAGTGCGTGTATAAATGAGAGACTGAGGACTAAGAGCCAATGTACACCGCCTTGGTACATCTAGTCAACACGTAGGTATCAGCTCAAGTCTAAGAAAAGGGTGTGCACACAATGCCACTTGCCCAAGTCGAAAGTCCAGCTGCCTCATCTTTCGACGTCGAAACTCGTTGAAGACGGTTCGTTCACAATGAGATCTCCCAGTTGTGTGACGCTTCTTGTCTTTATGACGTAAGACAAGGCTCATTGTTTGCACATTGTAAGGGTGTGGTCATGTTAAACACTGCCATACGACGGACGTTGAAGTAGAACACAGTTAATCGCTCTCCTATACCAAGCGAGATCAACAACTATCTCTTGTCAACCAAGGACACACACGAAAGCTTTTGCTGAACTTAATCTAGATGAGCGATAAGCCGTGCTTCTCTTTCTCTTGTCATTCGTGAAGTAGCTCTTTTCTTGATTTTACCCACACAGAGGTTTGGCATAGTCTGTGAATTGATTAGACCTTTTGTTGTATTTTTTCTATATTTCTTCTCCTAGCCCCGAGACAAGCTGACAACGCCATGAGGCTCTCGTTTCTCCCGTCCCTTCTGCTGGTTCTTTTCCTTGTCCTTCTCGGACACGTCGGGAGGACGTTAGGATGTTCACGGCATAAAAAACATTAATGGCCATTTCACCATGAGACGGCACGGCGATCACGCTTGTGGAGAGAACTGCTTCCACATGATGACAATGGAGAATAGTCCATGCTGCCATCTGAATCACTGTTTCCAAAAAACCAAAACTTCGAGACAGGAATCTTTTTACAACCTGAAGAGCGCAAATTGAAGGGGCTGCATGACAATGGAAAGAGGGTAAGCTATGATTAGATAATACTATGCTTTTGCAACAGACGGAAAAAGTCAGAGGTTGAAGAAAGAAAAAATCCTGACAGGTCAAAGGTGAATGATAAAGTATAGGTAGTTCTGTATTTGAAACATTCAAAATTCTTCTGAGAAGCCCCCACCCCCTTCTTCATTATATTTCATGTATATATCCCGATCATCGTGTTTTCGCCTTGTACTACCCATTCATGCAGAACACCAATTTAAAGCTAAATAAATTCTGTCTCATCTGGCACATTAATAATTCTTCTATGTTAAGAGACATCCGAGATACGATCACTCAGAATCGGCCTTTAAAAAGCAGGCATAGCTGTGCAAAATCAAAGAAATGGAAAATTGTCTTATCGCGTGTATTGGGGAACATAGAAACACAAAGATCCACATAAGTGGCTTTAATAATGTCCTTTGACATAGGGGAAGACATCGTATCGGGGAGCATGAATATAATACGATAAAATGTAAATTAAAAAGTGAACCATGATGAGAAACAATCACTATTAATTATACGATTAAGCAGACGTACATTAAGAAACGGACTAAAGACATCATCTGTCGAGGAAGAATTAATTATCTTTAGTACGTCACAAAACCACAAGAGTTCCATCAAAGCTGCCTGTAGTTCTTTGAAACAGACGCACACTGTGATTATAGAGGTTTTGAGTTGACACAGTTTTACTTGCATGAAGTTCGACACTATTGAAC